GCACTGCATGCATATAGTCCCTCAGACATTGGCTTTTCTGCATAAACACATTCCATAAAGCTTTTTTCTTTTTGCAATATGTTTATAACTATGAAGAAACTCAAGGTTAGAATAGCACTACACCATTATTTCATTAGTGCATCACTGCTCCATAGGGCTGACCCTCAACACCAAGCAGATGGGGAGTTTCCAAGGAAAATCTGTGATACGGAAAAAATCTGGATGCAGAAAATGTGTGGGTGCTTCAAGCAACCACAAGCTTTTTTTGTCAAAGAATCAATAGGAAAGAGCTAAAACTGAAAGAAGCAGTGCTCTCTGTGCTTCTCTTCTGTTAGGGATGATGTAAAACTGAGATCTCATCTCTGTAGGATCACAGTCCCACAGCTTTCTAGCTCTTCCACCCTGGCTCCAGTCTTGTTTAGGTCATTCCACTCTGCCTCCCCAAATTCCTTTCTGGAAGAAATCAAAAGTAAATACAGCCTGCAAAGTGTTCGCTGACTCCAGGAAATGGACACTACTGTATTCACAGATGATTTTTGAACTTTCCAGTCACTGCTTATTTGAGTTCCATTAATATAAATAGTAACAGTTCACCATTATTTTTCAAGTCCATAATTACTGAAAATATTACACAAGACCTATGAGAGATGTTGCAGCAAAAAGTACAGGTTTGTTATACTTTTAGATCGCATAAGCCCTCAGAAGGACCATTTTTAGGACACAGTAAAGGAGGAAGGGGGAGAAAAAGGAAGAAGGCTCTCTCACTTGTAACCAAGGCCCGTGTGCTGCATAGGGGTGCTCTTCTGTAGCAAAGGCTCCTTCTACTCCCGTTGATACAAACGTGATTGCTGTATCTCCTGTAATACTTTTATATGTAAAGTGCCGTCCATGTAAGAGCCTTCCCCTGGGGAATAAAACATATGTGTGTGAATTGAGAGGGTGTGAGCAGCATTCAACAGAATGATGAAGATGTATCACTATAGCTTCTGCCATCAGCATGGGAAACCATTTTGAAGGCAACGACTATTAATTTTTCAGGCATATATGAATGATTTGCTCCACAAAGCAGGTCACAAGCCTCCTTCTGAGTCAGGGAGTTCCCCCTTATCTCCTCCCTTAATCTCAAGGCCTTTTTACAGAAGTAGAATACATCTAAATCCCACTGCATGTCTATCCCCATGATGAGGTGCTAAGGTACATAAGGGCAGGGGACTGCCAGCCTTTCAGTGAGATGAAAACTGCAGAAAAGAATCCAGACCCCACATCATGTGGGAATGTGAAGGTGCGTTTCTAAGCAGGCTCATCAGTGGGGCAAAACTTACCTACTGTGACAATACCTAGTAACCCATTGCTGGGGTGCTTGACAAATGTAACCTGTATTACTTAAGCAAATGCCTAGAAAATATGCACACGTGACCATCTATGGTATCAATTCTTTTTTTCCTTCAGTGCCTTCCATGGGGAAAATCATGGCTCTGGTATTTAGGCTCAGACCACGTATGACATGCATGCATGGCTTCCAACAGGCAAGGAGGAAAACTTCAGGTAAGCTATAGAGTGCTTAACAGAGTCACAGCTGCTTGATGAGTTACTGCCGGTCAGTTCAGCTGTGGTAACTGATCAGGACAGATCAGTTCATGCATTTGTGATGTAAAATAAAATATGTTCATGTTAACTATCCCACTGGTTTCTCAACAGGCACAGGCAAGTATGCACCTGCTGCTGCTAACTGATACTACAGACATGTAACTCATTAAGCTAAAGTAACTCAGTCACCTACAATAATTTGTCTCTACCCCACAGTTCATCTTTATGTTAAGAACTACAAAATTTGCCACAGGTATTTTTAAAAACAGTGCTGACAGAAATTGTGAAAACCTAGAAAAGTCACTTACAATGGTAAGCACAACCTGAACCTTCAAAAGACAACGTGTAGAGTATGCACGCAATGTTTTGTTCCTTCAGTCTTGCAGGTGACATAATTTGTCTAAAAACACACTTGCATGCATTAACTGACTGCAAACAGGCTTTGCACAGCCACTTATGTCTGAGTCCATAAGCCAGAATTAACAACTTAAGGGATTTCTGTGACAGAGTATGTTAAGACATCCCTTCTTTGTCACAGAGTTGCCAGCATTAGACTAATAAAAAACCCCCTGTGCTAACCCTGTCCTGTTTCAGCACTCAAAATACACTGGAGGACATAAAAAAAATGAGAAATGATCTTACCATGATGAACACACATGCAAAGAATCATCTGTTTCTAATGTGTTTTGGCAAAATATCTCAACTCTGGCCTTTAAAGACCCATTGCACACATGTCTGTATGGTGAAACAATGCCACAAGGCAAAGGCGGCGTGTTAGAATAAGCTGAAGAGGAGGGCAGCTTCACTCACCTTAGACAGAGGGGAATGAGTGCTCCGGACTCCTGGTTAAATTTCAGGTGTACGCTCTCCAGCTGTCTTGTGCGGATTAGCTCATGAGGAATGATAGCTGCTGAGCTCTCGCTTTCTAAACTGTCCTTACGGCTTCTAAGAGAAAAGACAAAATGTACATATTGAGGATCCCAGTGCTGTGTGCTATTTCTGCTGCATTTCAGAGTGATTGTGCGAATACTGAGGGACACATCTAAGTTTTCATCACCCCTACAGAGACACAGCTTCCCTCAGATTACGAATGCCAGCATGCAGCTCTTCACCTTAATTTGATAACCTAGAATCTGAATTGGTACACACAGCACATACCTTCCCAGCATACAAAAAATAAAATTTCTGGAAAGAACTGGAGCAAAACTACACTGCCCAAAACCCCAAACCACTATAAAACGGCTTGGAAGAATTACCAGGTGTGCCCTCCCTCCTGCTTTTGCTTTATCTTCAGGATTTTTTAGGCAGTGGCCTGCAGGAAAGAGGTATCCAATCCCTTGTGCCCTTGCTCAAGTATCTTTGAGGTCTGAGGCATCCCTACAATTGTCTCCAAATCATTTCTTTGCACAGTTCAACCAAAAGGTTTTGAGAACCCTTTGCTTCTACCAACATGAAGTGCAACAGACAAAAGATGGACTCTACATGTGACGAGTAGGAGCTCTGCAGATTGTTTTCTCTTGTAAGTGGGGCTGCTTTAAGACAATGCAGCTTTGCTTTCTTATTCGTTCATTTCTGCAAGACCAGCATATTGTCAAGCTACGACTAAAGGTTATGTTGTTACATGTTTAGGAACTTTGCCAGACAGAATCCTCTAGATAATCAAACCAGTATATCTCAAAATACTTGACCATAAACACTTTATATGTTCAAAGAGCATCAGCGTGATCCCTTACTTGATAGTCCAGAATGAAGGACAGGGGGGGTTACAATTTTTGCAGCTGACATGGACCGACACGCGATTTATATTTTTGTCACCTGATGTTCCATATGAACTTAATAGAGGCAAGACCTTGTTAAGATAGTTTCTATAGTATAGAATCACCAGAGGAGGGGGACAGGGAAAGCAGGATGGAACTGAGAGATGCCACATTGCAATGTGATTCCATTATGCCAGACAGGCCAAAAGACAAACAAGGCTAGCAGGCTGCGGCTCCATTTGAGAACACTGTTAAAGCAAGTCTGGATCCTTCCTCCACCCAAGTGGAGCCACCTTTAATGTACATCTGGAAATGATTGTAAAGTAACAGCTTGACCCTCACGAGCTGACTTAGATCACACATCTACTTGATTTTACATTTGGGCGCTGTCCCAAGATTACTCCCATCCACCACACACACAGTAATGTGGTTCAGCGTGGCTTTCAAAGCAAGTTAGCCTATTGCTTCTGCCAGGTCACCTAGTCCCAGGTGAGCCTTTCACCCAGGCTGCAGAGCTGCCCACTCTGAAATGAGGATACAAGCTAAACTCTCATACCTCACAGTGCCTTCCTGAAAATACTCTGCATGGCCAGGTCAGAGACATGCAGAAAAAAAAAAAATCAGAGCAGCTCAGCTCCCTGCAAGATAAAAACTGTAAAACACATCCCATGTTCTGCCTTAGCAACACACAAAAGCAATAATGGACCTGGCAAGGACACAGTAGGTCAGGATACAGCTTATGCACGGGGTGTGCTGATGGGACTGACAGTCAGCCGAGTGTCAGTCTGGTCGGTTAACCCTGAAGCAAAGACACAACATGCTTTGTAGTCTATAGGTGGCACTTAAAGCTGTGTTTAATCTACTTCAGCAAACATTCTACAGCTCTTTGTAGGTGGGGTCTTCAAAGAGTGGAGTGGGGCAGCATTTTGAAGGCTGATTACCTGAGAAGTGCAGTTACAGTTGATTAATGATCAGTCGACCTTAAGCTAAGCTTTGCCGCAACTTCCTTATCAGATCTTACACACACAGTGAGCTGTGGGAAAATCAGCCTGCGGTCTAGGGCTTCCAATCATTCATTTATCAATCCCTACCAAAGGGGTCAGCCATTAGCAACGCATGATTTTCAAGCAGGCCATAAGCTTGCACTCGTTAAATGCAATTCCAGAGTTTACCCACCCTGGAGCAGAACCAGGAGTTTTACAGCAATGTTATTGCTACAGACAAGAGACTGTGCCCTTCTCACCTGGAGTGCCTAAGTGCGCCGGGCACGTCCTGTAACACAGCCTCCCAGGCACTCGCTGCTGTAGGTTCATGCTTCGGAAGGCCAGACAGCTGCAGGACAGTTCCCCATAGCCCTGGGCTCCAAACCCCCTGAGCTGAAGGTAGGCTTTTAGGCTTCCACCATGCTAGCCAGTACAGCTGCTGGCACAACGGGGCCACAGTCCGGAGGGGAAACAGCCTCTAGTTGTTAATGCAATAATAGGAATGACGACAACATTCTGGAGGCAAGGGGCAAAGCTTTCTAAGTCTTATTAAAACCAGCAAATGCTGTTTGTCATTACACGCTCAAGAGAAGATGTTGACTAATGTATAACTATCAAACGGAACTGTCATGACTTTAAGGCTGTCAATAATTATGACTTCACATTAATAAGTAACCAGCCCTTCTGTCAAAAAGGTGAAAGAGTGAAGCAAAATGGTAGTTAATACTTTGAATGACATGAAATTATTAATCCTTTCCACAAAACTTCTCCAAAACAGTCACGGTCTCTGTGTTTCTTATTTCTCTTTAGTGGAGCTCACACAATTTCAGCTATTTAAAGTTAAGGGCAAAACTCCAATAGCAGAATAATAATAGCAAATAATCTTCTACCTAAGCTATCCATATCTTTCTAAACAAGAGCTGTGTGTCGTGGACTGTGCATAACACATCAATAGGCCACAGTGCCATCGCTTTCAGACTCTGGAACATGTCGCATGTCACAGGGACTCAAGCAAGACCCATTAAAATTCCCTCTTTGGGAATGGAAATCCTTGTGCTGAGCCTTCCAAAGGGTGATGGCCCAGATGAAGGGTCGGCAGGACTTCTAGGTTGTTATTAATAAAAAGTTCATGTCGTAACGCACATTGCCATCCCCAGCTTGTAGTTCTCAGCCTCAGAAGAAAATGTAGAAAAGTTTGCTTTCTAACACTAACATCCCCAGTTTTACGACTGTCAGTTACCCGTAAGCCTTTGCTTCCTCCACCCCATCACCAAATAAATCAGCAGCAAAAGCCAGTGGAGTTTTACTTGTTATGACTAAGATCTAGCTGACTATCACGTAAAATGTTGCAAACTTTGTCTATTCCAGATTTAATACTTCATCCAACCCACACAAAAAAATTCATGTTTCTCAGTGTCCAGAAAAAACAAGTCTGCAAAAGCCAGAGCTGCTGCATTAGGAAAGGCAGTAGATTTAAATGGAAGCAGCATGCCGGAAATGCCCCAGTTTAAGGACTGCACATCTCGTGTTTTGTGAAACTGGAGGGGAGTTGGAGGAGATTAAAGCGCATTTCCCTCTGATTGGGAACTTGTGGGAGGTGTAAACGTGGGCAGTTGTCAGATTAATTCTTTAGATGATTACATTCTTTTTGTTTCTTTAAAGCTGTTTGTAGTTGGGTTTGATGTCTCCTGTTCTGGGCAAGTGTATTGCTGTAGTTACCAAGGTGACTTTAGCTGACTTTCAACTATTTTTTCCAGCTTCGGTTTCTACCAGTAGTCTGCTTTTGGGTGGAGGAGAGAGGGAGGAAATTATGTTTGTTGTTTGGGTTTTTTTTTTTTTTTAAATCTCATGAATACTGATTAACAGTTCATGAACTTAACCAAAGGCGTTTTTGGTTTTTTTTTTTTTTTTGAGAGGGGTGGTCAAACTGTTGTAAAGGTGTCCAACATGGCCTACAGCTTCCCCAGACCTCTGTCAACGGGGAAAAAGGGCCCAAGGAGACTACACGTCCCAGCGTGCTGTGCTCCTTCTTGATGCGAGCGGCCACATGCTGGAACCTGTAGCCTCCTGGGGCCCCTCTCTTTGTATTAAAGATGAGGGTGGCTGCAACCTGCTTAATTTTATGCCAATTAGCAGTAGCCCATGGGGATCCTGGAAAATCGCCAATGCAATCACTGGATTGCACAAAGTTTGGACGTCCCTTCCTTCTAAGTCATGTTTATAGCAACCTCTTCTCAAGCAACCCCACTGGCAATTATTTTATGAGATTCAAGAATAACCAGGTTGATCGGATTAAGAAAGGTTTATTTATTCTTGTATTTGCATTTTGCTTTATGATCAGAGTGCTTGATCTCATGGATCTGTCACGGAAGGAGACCTCAGTTCCCTTCCAAGCTCTGTCGCTGACATGGAGCGTAGTTTTGCTACATTTCCAAGTTATCCTCCCAGGTACTGAAATCACCAAGGACACGCTGTTGGAAGCTGTCCACGGCAGGGGCTCTTTGTAGGAGTGGGTGCCCATTGCATCACTAACCTGAGTTACAGTCACTGCTACCTGCTTCCTCAGTACAACACCCAGCACCATGAGTTAGCAAATGCAAACCATTAGAGCAAGCTTACGCAGCTGGGAGAGAAAGGTTGGACCACTTTTTTTTTTATTTAACTTTTTTTTTTTCCTCCTTCCTTTCCCTCCCAACTGTGGCTATTTCAAACCTTCTCACTCCCTAATGAAGGTATGGCCAAAGATCACTTAAGTGCCGGCAATCTTCCAGTGTCTCTCCCACACTTTCCCCTGAAAGGCAAACCAGCAGTTGTGGGAAAGAGCCCTAAGCATCTTGGCACACAGAGCCAAGTGCAGAAACAGGGAGGACACGGTTACACAGCTCCTGCCGTGGTCAGACTGAGACAAGGCTAGCTCGAGTGCTCAGACCTGGGTGCTCATCATCCTGGTTAAACTGGAGGTGAAGATGTTCTGTGTGCATTTCCTGGCATGGAAGGGCTCCAAGGACAATGCCAGTAGAAACAATCTTCTTGCCACTCACATATCCCTTTGGAAATCTGCATAATAACTACTGTCAGAGCTTGCAGGGGCCAGACTGTTCCAGACCTGCAGCTGAACTGGGATTGAGAGATTTAGGCTGTGCCACTGGCACCCTGCAGACTCACGGGCAAAGTCAGACAACGCTTTTATGCTTCAGGTTCCCCG